GATGAGAAATTATATAAATTTTCCAGCTTGCTCACATCATCTGTGATAATTCTATTTTCACCCACACTCACCAAATCAAGTGGATTCCCAAACTATTATGGCTTAAGAATCAAAAACACATTTAGAGGTGGTATGGGGTTTCCACAGTTGTATCTCACTTGGCGAATCTTTAATGTCTTCCAGAACGATCCATCTCAGATGGATGAAAAATGCAAGAAAAAGGAAAAAACCCAATAGTGTAATACTGCATAAAACTCAAAGATCAAAATTAATGTTCATCAGCACTCACATTAGATAAATTTGTAACCAGATTAAATGGACACGAAAGCCTCTTAAACGCCCCCCAGCAATCCTTCCTTGGCGACCTCCAAACTCTCGCTCGTGGACGGATGGCAGATGCAAAAAAAAGGGGGAGAACCAAAAGCATAAAATTGTATAAATCTTTTTATTACAAAAAGTTGATGCCCATATTGCACTCACATTTATGAGAATAAAAACATATAAAATTTATAACAATAAAAATCTACTTTGACGCTTCCCAATGACATATTCAATGATCACAGCAACATGGAAAGAAGTGAACTGGCAGCAGTAGGGAGATAGAACTATCCTCCCCACACAAAGATGGCCACGGAACATTGCACCAACGTGCTTTCCACTCACCGGACGTGACGTAACACATCGTAGATCAAAAACCGGAAATTAAGTTTTCGCCCCTCCTCCAAGGCATCGTCGTGGACCTGACGACGTCATGGTCTGTGATGACGCCTTGGAGGAGGGGCGAAGATAGGCCATCAGTACATCAGGATTGATCGATTTTCAGATATACCATAGTTTGTGGACTCTATAACTTTCCTATTGACTAAATACTATATGCTGATTTGAGTTATTTTCACCACAGAAATGTAGCAGTATATATTTTGGCTCGAATTTATGAAGAACAATTATTTATTTGCAACATTTGATAACAGAAACAAATAAAAACTTGTTTTTTTTCTCAATTATTTATATTTTTTCATTAATTTAGGAAAAAATAAATAGCCCAGTGGTGATTGCATACCACCAAAAGAAAGCTCTTGTTGTGTAAACAAAATTATAAAAATGTAGTTTGGGTCCAGTGTTGCATAACACTTGCAATTGTCATTGAAAGTGGAACAGCGGAGAAAGCTGAAAATTGGCCTGTGCAGGAAGGGGGTAAAAGTGCCCGGTATTGAAATGGTTAATACTACTTTAATGTAAACATAATATTATAGCATAGCAATGGCTATACAAGTAATTTTATCTTGCCATATCTTGACTATATTTAATTATACTTTTTGAATGTTCTGCCTGCTGCCCTTGAGTACATTAAGCACACTTTAAAAGTAATGACCTCTTGTAGTGAATATAATCTCCACAACATTATGATCAAATTCATTTGCAAATTGGACAAGGGACTATCATCTAGAATATTGAGAGTCTGACAAAAGGAAAATCTTACATGAAAGCTATTAAAAAAGAATAATTATATGTTAGCAATATCTAAAACCTTTTTTTTCTATTTCACTAAAGCAAAAGTATTTTTCAGCATGTGAGTTTTCAATTAGGTGAATAAAAGTATATAACAATAGTGTAAAGCCGCCAGAGTGCTACTAATATAGTTAATGATGTTAAGTAAGCCTTTATGCTGCAGGGATAAGGACCATCCAAACTGCAGTAGCTTGTACCATAAATTAAAAAAGGCCAAATAAATGGGAAAAAGTTCTAGAATTCTTTAGCAGCATTTTTGCACTTTGCATCCATTAAAATAATTATTAAAAGTAGCATACAGATTTTGGCTGACCTCTATTCTTAAAAAAAAAAATACAATGTCTTTTTGTATACTTTAAAATGCATGTGTTAGAAAGTGGTCAAAGGTTTTTCTAGCATAAGGCAATTTACATCTTTTTACAGTCATTAAACTAATTTCTAAAATGGAGCCTGTGTAGAACGTTTCGCTTGATGCTAAAAAATGTCCTCAAATGAAGAGAGGGAGAGAGAGAGAGCGGGGGAGAGAGAGAGAGAGAGAGAGAGAGAGAGAGAGAGAGAGAGAGAGAGAGACAACAGGAAATTATCTTGGACAAAATACTACAGCTAACAGACTGCACAACAAAAATTTCCACAGTCCGAAGTAATACTGTCCTCCCTTCTTCCAATCAACATGTCAACATAATCCAGTGAATCAACACAGAGCTGTCAGACAAAACTTCAAATCTTCAATTCCCCTGGCACGACATCAGTCTATAATGCCCCAACACCTCTATGACAACAAACAAGGGGTCAGTTACCTGGCAAGAGAATTCAAAGACATAGTAATGAATAGAACTCACAACCCTGGATCTGGCACAAACCATACTCAAACGAACACAATTACAACCACAAGCAGACCCCAAATCTCTCCATTATTCTAAAACAGAAACAATACAACCAACCCAAAAACAGGGCCAAGAAGATGTAAAGAATGGAGAAAACCACTGGCACCAGGACAGACATCAAGATCAGCACAAAACAGAGAAATGGAGGAGATAAGGACTCTCCTCAGCACATTATACAATAAACTAATGTGACTGAGCCCAATAAACAATAGACAATGATAACCACTCATAATCCAGTTTGTCCCATGCAATGTACTCATCACAAGATATATACTGTATATACAAAACAACATCATTAGTAATCAGTAGCTGGAACATTCAGGGTCTGAATGTTTCAGCTTTCAGATACAAAGTAAAGGATCCAGATTTTAATCAAAGACTACATGAGACTGACATACAAATCCTCCTGGAAACATGGATCTAGGCATAGGATGAACCACTAGTACCTACTGGCTATAGAGAATTCTGTGTCCCTGCACAGAAGGATAGAAACATCAAACAGGGATGGTGTTTAGGAGGAATTATAGGTTGGTATAAGGAGGAGCTACATGAGAACATTAATGCAATCAAAAAAGGAGAAAGCCCATCTGGATGAGAATAAGCAGCTCCATTCTCACCTCTCAGTCTGACATCTACCTGTGTACAGCATACATTGCCCCACCAGAGTCCACATATTTCAAACTAGACACCTAGGAGGTCCTACAAATTGAGGTTATACACTGCCAATCCCTAGTACACAGTGCTCATCTTTGGAGACCTCAGTGATAGGACAGGAATGGAAAAGGACTATATACGTTCTTATGGCAACACATACATTCTGGGCCCTGCAAGTTACTGTCACAAGTTGATACAGATACAAAGAAACAGCTATGACAGTACAATCAACCAGAATTAAAGAAAATTGCTTAATATGCATCACAGTCTGGGGCTCTACATCCTCATTGGCTGCGCCATGGGAGACTCTCTGGCAAAGCTGCAGTGTAAAGGTGAATGTTAAAAGAACAAAGCATTTCCGCCAGGCCCATGGAGCCTAAGTACAACCCTCTTCAACATCTAAATCCATGAACTGGCTGCAGCTCTGGATTTTTCCCCAGCATCTCGACTGACTCTACATGACACCAAGGTGAAGTTCCTGCTGTATGCAGATGACCTCCTACTACTGTCACCAACAGAGAAAGGCCTACAAGATGGCCTGGAAGTAATGGAGAAATACAGTGCCATATGGGCACTATCTATCACTCAAGAAAAAATCATGGTCTTACAAAGGAAGAACACAAAACAAACAAAGAGCCATTCCTTCACCTTAAACAACTGCATTCTTGATGAAACCAACAACTACACATACCTCAGCCTAGCAATGAACCAATCAGGAAGTTTCAGTGCAGCCATAGAAGCTCTAAAAGAAAAGGCATGCAGAGCCTTCTATGCCACCAGGAGACAGCTGTACCATCTAAAACCAGAAGAAAAAATCTAGGCTTATAATCTTTGATAGTGTTATCACCCCAATCCTTCTTTATGGCAGTGAAGTTTGGGGTCCTGTCACCTACCCAGACCAATCCAAATGGAAATCCAGCCCACCAGAAATACTGTATTTCATCTGAAATTCTGAAAGCACCTCCCCCAAGTCCATTGGAGCACCTCCAACAGTGCTTTCTGGTCTGAGTGCAGATGTTGTTTTTATTTCTCACAGTACAAAAGAGGGAGCTATGATACTGGGACCACCTACAAAACAGCAGTCCTAACTCATATCACCATAAAGCTTTGCTGACCAATAAGGAGCAGTGCAAGCCATGTGGCCTGCAACAACGCATCAGCACCTTAGCCATCCCAAACACCCAACAATCTGGCCTGACAAAATCTCAAATAAAAAAAATAATGAATGATTCCAGTCATTGCAGAGAGACTACAATCTGGCCCCATACCTGGACCCAAAAGACAGACATACAGACCTTAAGCCTGTACAGATTTAGTGCCCACAGCCTGGAAATTAAAACAGGATGGCACAGACAGACCTACAAGCCCAGGGAGAGTAGACTGCGCAAGCAATGTGACCAGGGGGTCCTGGAGGATGAGGCCCACTTCCTGCTATTGTGCCTCAAGTACTCATCACTTACACTCACTTCCAGAGACTATTATTCTTATCCCAGACTTCAATTCGATAGAAGAGAAGAGGAAACTTCAGATTCTACGAGAAGCCAATGGTGAAAATAGCTTCACAATATGTGACAGCAAGTCACAGACTGAGAGGGACATGACAGACTGAAGACTTAAAAATCCATTACATGGACCCCTATCTCCCTTTATATTACCGCTTACCCCCCCCCCCCCCCGTTTCAGATGACCAGAGACTGCAGAAATAGTACAGGAAATGACCAGAGACTGCGGATGTATTACAGGAGATGACCAGAGACTACAGACATAGCACAGGAGATAACCAGAGAATGCAGACATAATACAGGAGATGACCAGAGACTGCGGACATACTACAGGAGATGACCAGAGACTGAAGACATAGTACAGGAGATGAGCAGAGACTGAAGACATAGTACAGGAGATGACCAGAGACTGCGAACATAGTACAGGAGATGACCAGAGACTGCGGATGTACTACAGGAGATGACCAGAGATTGCAGATATAGTACAGGAGATGACCAGAGACTGCTGACACAGTACAGGGATGACCAGAGACTGCGGACACAGTACAGGGGATGACCAGAGACTGTGGACACAGTACAGGAGGTGACCAGAGACTGCGGACACAGTACAGGGGATGACCAGAGACTGCGGACACAGTACAGGAGATAACCAGAGACTGCAGACATAATACAGGAGATGACCAGAGACTGCGGACATACTACAGGAGATGAGCAGAGACTAAAGACATAGTACAGGAGATGACCAGAGACTGCGAACATAGTACAGGAGATGACCAGAGACTGCGGATGTACTACAGGAGATGACCAGAGACTGCGGATATAGTACAGGAGATGACCAGAGACTGCGGACACAGTACAGGAGATGACCAGTGAGTGCAGACATAGTACAGGAGATGACCAGAGACTGCAGATATAATACAGGAGATGACCAGAGACTGCAGATATAGTACAGGAGATAACCAGAGACTGCGGACATACTACAGGAGATGAGCAGACTAAAGACATAGTACAGGAGATGACCAGAGACTGCGGATGTACTGCAGGTGATGACCAGAGACTGCAGATATAGTACAGGAGATGACCAGAGACTGCGGACACAGTACAGGAGATGACCAGAGACTGCAGATATAGTACAGGAGATGACCAGAGACTGCAGACATAGTACAGGAGATGACCAGAGAGTGCAGACCTTTGGGGAGCGGGGGGGGGGGCTTGGTACCCGAATTTGATAGGTACCCGCTCCCACTTCTGCTGCAATCCCAGTTGTTCTCCCTCCCTCCCCATAGTCTTCTGGGACATGTGACAGGTCCCAGAAGACTACAGGGCCATTCACAAAGCACAGTGCTTCTCACAGTGGGTACCCGGCTGTGAAACCGCAAGCTGTCACAGCCCGGTACACACACTAAAGATACCGGCGCCAGGGAGAGAAGACGGCCGGGGAAGCCAGCGGTGGTGAGGACACCGCTAGACTAAGAAACAGGTAAGTAGCTGTGTTTTAAAAGTCAGCAGCTACAATTTTTGTAGCTGCTGACTTTTTTTTTTTTTTACAGCTGGAACTCTTAAGGGGCAGCTGCTTTTGGGCCCTGCCTGGTGCTGCTGCTGCACAGAAGAGTCTAGCGGCTGGCCCGGTATTCTGCACGGTGGCGGCGATGGGGGGAATACTGGGCCGGCTGCTCCATATTCGCTCCATAAGACGCACAGACATTTCCCCTCCATTTTTCTGGGGGAAGAAAGTGCGTCTTACAGAGCAAAAAATATATGGTAAATGCATGTACAAGCTATTGGGATTTGAGCACATGTATATCTTGTTTCTGATGCATAGTAGGTCAGTAGCCAGACATAAACCTAGTAGCTCTCCCCCATTTTGTGTCTGTTTTCCCCAGGTTGGCATTGTGTCCACATTAGCATTTGCGTTGGCAGAGCAGAGTAGGACTGGCCATAGAGGGATTACTTTGACGCAGGTACCCAGCTTAAACATGCATTGCAAAATGTGTGAATCAAAAATCCCTATTTTTATTGCAACGTTTGCTGGAAAGGGTGATTAGCAGTGTGCAGAGGGTTCTTCTGGGATTTCTAGTGTAAATAGTATAAAGCATATAAATAAACCTCACCTTAAAGACTGCTGTACCTGTATTCATGCTGTGGGTTCATCCCAGGGTGTAAAAAGTATATAGTTTTTTTTAAAATAAGATGTTTTAACTTACAGTGTTCTCACTGTAGGACAATTACACTGAGAGAGCGCTCTGCCAGTAAGGAAGTGTGGGCTGGTGACGCAATAGTAGTAGTAGTAGTAGTAGTAGTAGTAGTAGTAGTAGTAGTAGTAGTAGCAGTAGTAGCAGTAGTAGTAGTAGCAGTAGTAGCAGCAGTAGTAGTAGTAATAGGAAAGCAATCTATCCAAAGTGAGGATCCCCCCAAATTAGACAGTTGCCACCATGGGTCCCCATTGGAATATTTCAGTTCTGATGATTCCTTAGACCCATGTTACAGTCTGCAGGGTGCTAAGAATGATTGCTGATAGCATTATGTAGTTATTTATCTGTTAGATTACTTAAAACAGTTCTGTTTTGCTGCCAAATTTGAAAACATTCCATTAGCTAATCATTGCACTGTTGCTGACTGATATTGAATGCATGAATTAATGAAAGGAGTGCCAGACCAAAGGATAAACAAATCCAATTCAATTTATTAGTTCATATAAAGTGTTTTGGGGGTCAGAAAAAACTCCCGTTCATCAGGGCTTCAGTTAAATTTAAGAACCTTGAATTGACTTTCCTAGTACTGTAAATCTGTGTAGTGAAGCTAATTGCTGGATCAGAAGAGTTACTGGCCAGTAGTATCTGCATGAGCAATCAATGATCTTGGTTATCATTATCTTTTATCCTTTGGTCTGGCGCTCCATCCATTAGTGCATTTCTGTTTCTGATTGGGTACCCACTGGAGGGTAGCCTTATCTGTTGTGAGTAGTGATGGGCTACATGTTCGAGTCGAACGTAAGTTCAACTCGAACATGGGCCGTTCGTGTGTCCATTGAACACACAAATGGTATGGGCATTTGGCAGGCTATTCGCCTGCCGTGCAATGACAGAGCACTGTGATTGGCCAAAGCATTGCACACCACAGGTCAGGTGCAATGCTTTGGCAAATCACAGGACATGATGCTGTACCTGTATTCATGCTGTGGGTTCATCCCAGGGTGTAAAAAGTATATAGTTTTTTTTAAAATAAGATGTTTTAACTTACAGTGTTCCCACTGTAGGACAATTACACTGAGAGAGCGCTCTGCCAGTAAGGAAGTGTGGGCTGGTGACGCAGTAGTAGTAGTAGTAGTAGTAGTAGTAGTAGCAGTAGTAGCAGTAGCAGTAGTAGCAGCAGTAGTAGTAGTAATAGGAAAGCAATCTATCCAAAGTGAGGACCCCCATCAAATTAGACAGTTGCCACCATGGGTCCCCATTAGAATATTTCAGTTCTGATGATTCCTTAGACCCATGTTACAGACTGCAGGGTGCTAAGAATGATTGCTGATAGCATTATGTAGTTATTTATCTGTTAGATTACTTAAAATAGTTCTGTTTTGCTGCCAAATTTGAAAAACATCCCATTAGCTAATCATTGCACTGTTGCTGACTGATATTGAATGCATGAATTAATGAAAGGAGTGCCAGACCAAAGGATAAACAAATCCAATTCAATTTATTAGTTCATATAAAGTGTTTTGGGGGTCAGAAAAAACTCCCTGTTCATCAGGGCTTCAGTTAAATTTAAGAACCTTGAATTGACTTTCCTATGTACTGTAAATCTGTGTAGTGAAGCTAATTGCTGGATCAGGAGAGTTACTGGCCAGTAGTATCTGCATGAGCAATCAATGATCTTGGTTATCATTATCTTTTATCCTTTGGTCTGGCGCTCCATCCATTAGTGCATGTTTGTTTCTGATTGGGTACCCACTGGAGGGTAGCCTTATCTGTTGTGAGTAGTGAGTAGTGATGGGCTACATGTTCGAGTCGAACGTAAGTTCAACTCGAACATGGGCCGTTCGTGTGTTCATTGAACACACAAATGGTATGGGCATTTGGCAGGCTATTCGCCAATCAGAGGACATGATGACATTACAAGGGAGCAGGGGTGATCCTGCCCCTTTGTAATTGTGACATCATCACCTTATTTAAGAACTGTCATCGCTGCCAGGTGTCAACCGGCGAGAGCCAGCATGGAAAGCGGAGCAGATTTTTTTTTTTTTGAGTCAGCGGTGGTGGCAGGCATCGTGATTGACATTGGATCTACTTCGAGATTTTCTTTTAATTTTTTTTTTAATAAAGGACTTTTCAAAGACTGTCTTATGTCTTTTTTTACTACCCTATTTTTGTGTGAATGGGTAGTGGTAGAATGTACCGCATACTCATTCACATGGTGGGGGAGATGAGATCTGGGGGCCCCCTTGTTAAAGAGGGCTTCCATATTCTGATAAGACCCCACAACCACCGGCCAGGGTTATGAGGAAGAGGCCCTTGTCCTCATCAACATTGGGACAAGGTGCTTTGGGGGGCCCTGCCCCAAAGCACCCTCACATGTTGGGACATGTGGCCTGATATGGTTCAGGAAAGGGGGTGCTCGCTCATCCCCCCCTTTCCTGACCTGGTTAGCTGCATGCTCGGAAAATGGTCTGGTATGGATTTTGGGGGGGGGGACTCCCACGCCATTTTTTTTTATCTTAGCATGGGGGATTCCCCTCAAAATCCATACCAGACCCAAAGAACTTGGTATGGATGAAAGGGGGGACCCCGTGACATTTTGTAACAAAAAATGTTTAATTAGGTAGTGCCAACAATTCTTTTGGCATTCAGCTGTCAGCGGGAACCCCACTGACAGCTGAAACATTAATGAATGTTTCACTAATAAAATACTGCATGACTACTGCGGTATTTTAGTAACTCAGACACTCAGTAACTCAGATGCGGTAAGATACCGCTCAGTAAATTGTCCCAGTTTGAAACTCGCTGTCGAACTTTCGGTAGGTTCGAATGTTCCACTGTGAACTGAACGGGGGGTGTTCAGCCCATCACAAGTTGTGAGCAGCCTAAGCTAAGATAGTGAGCTTTCTAAATGGTTTTATGCTCTAACTATGTATGTACTCCCAGTACCTCTTGGATGCTTTTTTCTTCATTGGAGTTTGATATTGAATGCATATCTAAGTCTAGCAAATGCATCAAAGGCTATTCAAAACAGTAACTGAATAGCTTATTTCTGTGCTGTCTGGTTTATTAACCATTTGCTCTGTGAAACGATTTACTCCCTTCCTGACCAGGCCATTGTTTTGCTATGCAGCACTATGCTATTGATGCTCACAATTGTGTGGTCATGCAATGCTGTACCCAAATTAAATTTATATGATTTTTCCACACAAATAGAGCTTTCTTTTGGTGGTATTTGGTCACCTCTTTTATTTTTTATTATTTCATTAAAGAAGACCAACAATTGTGGGGAAAAAACCCTGTATGTTGTACTTTCTGCTATAAAACATCTCCAATAAACAATTTTTTAAAATGTAATCTCTTCATAAATTTTGACCAAAATGTATTCTGCTACATGTGTTTAGTAAAAAAAGTCCCAATAAGTGTCTGTTGATTGGTCTGTGTGAAAGTTATAGTGTCTGCAAACCTTGCAATATATGCTGGAATTTTCTTTTCAATATTAATAGCAGTGATCAGGGACTTATAAAGGGACTGCAGTAGTGCAGCAGGAATATGACACTAAATGACACTGGGTGGAACTGACTAACTGTAAGTGACATCACCAGTGACATTATTACAGTGATCAGTGCTAATAATATGCATTGTCTCTGAAGGGACAGGAAGGGTGATCAAGGGGTTAATTGTGTGCCTAACAAGTGTTTATGTGTTCACTGTGTGCTGCTTTTACTGATGATACAGTTGTTTTCATTCCCTGCTTAGTAGGACAGCTCCTTTGAACGCATGATGTAGGTTCACAGCAATAGGTTCCAAATGCAAATACTACACTTAGAATCAACTCCAGACATTTTACCTGCTTAATTGATGAAAAAATAATGAAGGAGTAGCCCACACATGGTCATGAAACAGCTTTTGATTCTATTGTCCAATTACTTTTAGTAAGGTGGGATGGCTACTCTTAAGAGCTGTAATTCCTAAACCCTTCCTCCAATTTGGATGTACATACCCTCAAATTAAACCTGAGAGTGTGCACTTTCAGTCCATATCCATTATATAACCATAGCTTGAATATGTTTTGGTAAATACCTGAAAAAAAATCTAAAATTGTGCCTGTGTCCAAATATATATGGACCTAACTGTAGTTCACATCTGCGCATTTTGAGCCACTGCATTTTTTGGAAAGGTTCAGGGACATTTTTTCCCCAGCAGATTACGGTTTGTGTGTAATAGACCTCAATGGACCTGCACCTGCGTTTTTGATGCGTTTGAGGGGGGGGGGGGGTTGGCTAATAGGAAAGTATAACAATTCTGTTTGTAGTGTGATGTTGATGCTGCTTTACACTCTCTGGAACTCAAGTAGCATCCAAATTGCATCAGACTGTCATACTTTCCAATTAGCCCACCTCAAAAAACCAAAATGCATAAAGGAATGGATTAAACAGCATGTTCAAAAGTGTTAAAAAAACACTGCAAAATGCTCCAGAAAAACATGTCAACAGCAACCTGAATAGATGTGAACCTAGCCTTAATTATGAGAAATTTCAGCTTTAAAAGATTTTCCTGACATCCTCACCATTCCTAATCCCCCCCAACGCACTCTATACATTTTGGTCTACTGACATTAGTCTTCCTCTTCTTTCTTGGTACTGGAAAAAAGGGTGGGCCTTCCTCTTGGACTGAGTGGTGCTTACATGATGATGTGTGAGCACTGCTCAGTCCTTGTGAGTGTGAGCCCAGCCTGCATGGTGATCTGGGAATTATATTGACTGTCATACTGCCCGAAGATGACTGGAGGTGTTGAACTGAGAAGGAAGCATGGCAAGGGTAAAACATTTTTTTTTAACATTAAAACATTTTTTTTAAATACACGATGAGGGGAGCACAATATTAACCTCCCTAGCAGTCTGATTATGTCCATATTTCTGTGCTCAAAGCGGTAAATTTTTTTGGCATGGAAATATGTATTTTTTTATTGTAGGCCTGTCATTTTTAGGAATAACTCACTGAAATCTGTCCAAACAAGAGTCTAGTAAACATCCCGGGTATGTTAAAATTTGAAACACAAAATCATAAATTATAATTTAATAAATAATCATAAAAAATAATAATATAATAATACATTTAATTCAATAATATAATCAAACCAAAAACACTGAAATTTGAAAAATAGCGCCAAGTTCACACATCACTGAGCAAAGTCCCAAAATCATTTTCAGCGTCTGATGACAAATTTCCCCACGAATCATTATCACTCAATACTGCAAGTAGTTCAAATTTACTATCGCTGTTCTCTAGCTGGTCTAATACCGATTTTGACCTAAAGGGACGCTTTTTGGACGCCATGGACGTTTCTCAGTTTCCAGGCAGAAAGAACAGTAAAAATGCAAGCAGGGCACAGGACAAAGCACTAGGGACAAAATGAATGTGAAATGGTTTGGTACAGTAATGTTTTACTATGTGATTTTAGTGAATTTAGTGAATGCCACTTTTTGTCATTTTCAAATCTCCCGTCGTTCCGTCCCCGTACGTCCCGTCGTCGCAGGAGACGGAACCCAGAAGACAGATGCTGGCATCCGCTGGAGGACATTACAGGGGACACTGCAGGAGGGATATCGCGGGAGCGCAGGACAAGGTAAGAGAAGAAGCAGCGCCGCATGGTAAGCCCGAGTGTAGCTCGGGGTTACCGCTTGTGGTGCTGAAACTTTACCCCAAGCTACACTCGGGAATACCGCCAGGGAGGCTACAAAAAAGAAAATCTTAAATATTCTTTAAAATCATTGATTTTATTTTAAATAAAAGAAAACTGTTCCAACATGAGTTAAATATATGAACTATTACTACTCTGCAGTTGTTTACATCAAGAACAAAGTTCACAAGAACACTTTTAAATGTGCTGATGCTGACAATTAAACACCTTTCCTGCTGAATTGCCCTGCCTCGTACTCTGCAATTTAAAAACCCTTCTAGTCTTTATAAGGCGTTAGTTAGGGTGTTGTGATTCTGTTTAAACTAAATATGTTAAATGAAAACAAATAGTTACCATGTCAGCTAAAATGTTAAAACCAAGTCACTGATAATAATGAATGTAGCAATTAAATCAAATTTACAACTTTGATATTTAAACAATACATAGTCAAGTAGCTTTCTCTTTCTGTTTTCATAATAGATTAATCCAGTTGAATCTGAACTCCCTTAGCAGAATTCTTTCAATTTTATTTTAATAAATAAAAAAGCCTTCTTTAAAGAAACCACTCTAAGGACCATCAAGAAGATGAGTGTGTATTGTTTGAAATTCTGTAATTTATTGAATATCTTGAGAGTAAGGCTTGCTGTGGAGTGCAAAGCAGTCATAAAACAAACTTGATAGTATTTCTTGAGGGCCTTGATTGTGTCTCCTCTGGGTTGGTCTTTCCCTTATAAGGAGTCATGCCAGCAATTTAAATTACATTGTACTTGACATTGTGTATAATATTAAAAGCAAAGTTTTTTTTCTTATATTTCAATTTTTTTTTGCCTTAAAGTAAATTAAAATCAAATAAAATGTCTATCTTTATGTTCTTGCTTTCACAGATTTTATAACATATTTACTCAAATCCCCACCCATGTTTTGATCCTAATATGACCATGTAAGTATTAGTGTAGCAGGAGTGTAAATATAGTCAAAGAAACCTATAAGTGTACAATGTTTAAAGCGGAGTTCCAGACTTTTTTTGAACTTCAAATATTTCAAATCCCCCTCCAATGTACAGTGCGAAATGTAAATAGATTTTTTGTTTGATTGTTTGTAAATACCTTTAATTTAATTCTTCAGGTGGCACTTCCTGTCCCGGCTGCCTAGGCGATGACGTCATTAGGCGATTCCCATTGATTCCTGGGATATCAGCGTTATCTATCGCAGGAGTCTTTGGGAAGCCTAATAATGTAATGTGATTGCCATAGCAACAGGGTGGGTACTTCCGTGACGCCTCCATTGCTACGCCAACCTGCACTAAACACAATACACCGCGCATTGTCATTACTCGAGATTGGGAGGTGCATGCTGGGTAGCCAGTTGCACTGCATCCCGGAAAAAGACACAAGTGGGCTTCAGATGCCCACATCCTAAATGGCCACCTCGAAAAAATAAAGGTGCAGCGCTTATAAAATCAACAATATATATCATGCGGTAAAAAAGCATATAACTTAGTATATGGTGCACAATCAAATGTCCATGTGATGGTCAAGATTTGAAATATGGTATTGAGGATTTCTTCCCAACAGGGGCGGACTGACAACTCATGGGGCCCCCGGGCAATAGGGATCATGGGGCCCCTGTATCCTTGCCCAAACTCAAAAAAGCCTATGAAAAAGGTACCAGGGGCATCTCATGGGGCCCCCTACTGACCCCGGGCCCTTGGGCAGTGCCCGAATTTCCAAATGGGCAGTCTGTCCCTGTTTCCCAACCACTTATAGTGATAAATAAGTAAATTGCACACTCACCAGATGCACAAAGTATTTGCGCATTTGAGAAAACAATATCTCACTGGGTCAGCTGGAACACCTTGAAGAGGGTTTCTCCCATCTGATATGGATTCCTCCCTGGGTACCTCCTGGATGATAGCAGCTTCCCTCTCCTCTGCACAGAACTCTGCGGATGGTTGGACTCAAAAAGAGCACAAATAAGGAGGAGGCTACATAGCGTGATACTGCTTCAAAATATTTATTTCCAAGTCAAAGTATAAGGTAGATAACAGAAAAAACTGACCATGTGTAGGCAAGATGGCTACCGAACCACCACAGGGTCTCAGCAGCGTGACATCACAGCGTTGTAGCTCCTCTCTGATGCGTTTCGTGCAATGCACATACTCATAGGGGTATGCTATCCGATATGCTATGTCGATAGCATACCCCTAAGAGTATGTGTTAGTTCTACATTGATCCAGCATTGCAGCCAGCTGCTGGTCTTCTCTCCCCTCTAGTCTTCTCTCCCCTCACTCTCCCCTCAGTACACTGCACTGACACTGTCAGTCAAATCCTGTGAGCAGAGAGTGGGGGGAGATCCGCTGTGTGTTTCAGGAGTGCGCCCGCAGTCATGTCCCCATAGCAACGGCTTGCTATGGGAGCATACGGAGAAGAGGAGGAGCTGAGAGAAAAGGAGAGGAGAGCCATTGCATAGAGGTGAGTATAACATAATTATTATTTTATTTGAAAAAATTGCTTTTAGAAATGCTTTAAGTCCTAATACAGAAATGCATGGCTAACCTAACAGGGCATACTAAAAGACAGTAATTTTATCTATAATTTGAATCCTTTTGGCATAACATAATAATTATTTTTGTAAAAAAAGTTAATCAAAGAAGCATTGATTAGTTTGTTGCCCTTATGAAATATGACCAAAAAATTGGGTTAATGCTTTTGAGGTCTTTATATACTGTAATTAAATTTGTTGTATTGATCAATCTTACATCACTGAATTATGTTTTATTTTTCTCTTAGGCTGCCAAAAATCCTCCTTAAGATAATTTATATTAAATCACAATGTAGCTGTATAAATCAGTGAATTGTTATAGTACATAATACAGTGATATTCATTGCAAGATACCAAAGACTAAAACAGTCTGTTTATAAAGAAGTGCATCATTTGTATGAAATTCCACCTATGCCACTTTGAGAGGGAGACTGTAAACCAGCTGTTTTCTGGCACACGCATACAGCATTAGACAGCTAACTGGCTCACAGGACATTTGTTATTGTCATAGTGCTACATTAAACATGTAAACTTTTTTTAATAAAATCCATATGATCTAATAAATGTGCCATATTTAAGTGGCAAACTGGGAAAACTGATGAATAACCCCTGTAAACAAAAGCACCAAGCACACTTACATAATAGAAAAGCAGGAAAATAACACAAATTTAAACAGCTAATCCACCCCTTAAAAATGGACCAAATAGTCAGTCTTCCCCAAGCTGTATTATGATGGTTGGGGTTCTGACTGCGTTCAACTTTCTAAAAGCTTTGCAAATCTTGCAAATTTTACATTGAGAAATCAGCAAACCCATGGTAGCTGTGAATCAGAACTCCATCACTCCTCTTGGAGGGCTGATAATGAAAACATTTTCCTCGGAGATCCAGGCTCTACTCACCATTGAGTAGAATGCTCCTAGCACTCCACATGTTTTTTTAATTGTCTGGATCTGGAAACTGAAGTACAGATATCACAGCACTAGAGTTTACAATATATGAAATTGATTAACTGCTTCCCGACCTCTCTATAGCAGAAATATATACGTGATTTTTCATTTCCAGGTAGGGGCGTGAAGCCGCGGTTGTCAATCACCGACTGGGAGGGGAACTGTTTTGTTTACTAACAGTTCTCCTCCCTGTCAGCTTGTGAATACTGCTTTGGATGGCTGTGCACAGCACAGCCATCCAAAGCGGTGTGCTTACAGTGAAGCACACACACTGCCCCAAAGTAAAACACAACCAGCATACAGTTAACACTTTGATCGTTACTCATGTTAACCCCTTCCTGCCCAGTGCCATTAGTACAGTGTCAGTGCTTTTTAAGCACTGTATTGGTGTCACTGGGGATGTCAGTGACACGAAGTCAGTTCACTACAGTGCCAGAATGTCCACCGCAGTCCTGATATTGCTGATCGCCGCCATTACTAGTAAAAATAATAATTAAAAAAAAAATCCCAGTATATATACTGCCATTTGTAAACGCTATAACTTTCATGTAAACCAATTAGGACTTTTTTTTTGCAAAGACATGTAGCAGAATATATTTTGGCCTAAATTTATGACAACATTTTTTTACTGGAGAGATTAATAGCAAAAAGTAAAAAAATATTGTTTTTTTCTCAAAACTGTTGAACTTTTTTTATAGCACAAAATTAAAAACCGCACAGGTGATCAAATACCACCAAAAGAAAGCTCAATTCATGGGAAAAGAAGGACATAAATTTCATTTGGGTGCAGAGTTGCATGACCGCACAATTGTCAGTTAAAGTAACGCAGCACCGTAACGCAAAAAATGGCCTGGTCAGAAAGGGGGGGCAAATCCTCAGGAGGGCAAGTGGTTAATAAACTGGCTCTCTAGCAAACATGGTTAACCGTTTCAATACCGTGCAATTTTACACCTTCCTGCCCAGGCCATTTTTCAGGTTTCAGCGCTCTCACACTTTGAATGACAATTGCGCAGTCATACAACATTGTACCCAAACTAAAATTTTATCATTTTCTTCACACAACTAGAGCTTTCTTTTGGTGGTATTTAATCACCGCTGGGGTTTTTATTTTTTGCTAAATTAACAAAAAAAGACCAAAAATTTTGAAAAAAAAACACATTTTTCTTTGTTTCTGTTATAAAAGTTTACAAATAAATAATTGTTCTTCATAAATTTAGGCCGAGATGTATTCTGCTACATGTCTTTGGTGAAAATAACCCAAATTAGGATGTATTATTTAGTTTGTAGGAAAGTTATAGAGTTCACAAACTATGGTATAGATCTGAATATTGATCAATCCTGAAGTACTGACAGCCAATCTAATTTCTTGAGGTCCAAGAATGTCAGAACAGTACAGATATCCCCAAATGACCCCTTTTTGCTGAGTAGACAGTCGGACGTACTTCATAAGAGGCATGGCGAGTTTTTTGAAGTTGTATTTTTTTGTCATAATTTTTCCGAAAATGAAAAAATGAAAAATATTATTTTCACTATTTTTTTTTTTACATACTGTCACCAGTGCAGTACAGC